AAAACACTTGCTGTTCAAGGGTGAGGAACTAAATTCAATCCCCAGAACCCACACAAAGTTGGACACCATAGTGAATCTGTAATTCCAGTCCTCCAAGAGCGAGAAAGGAGGCTAAGACAGATGAATCCCCAGAAGTTTGGGGGCAGATAGTCTGGAATATACAGCAGTGAGCAACAAGAGACCCTGTTTTAAACAAGGTAATACAAGAGAAAATGCCCAAGGTTGGCCTATGACCTCCATGTGTCCCAAGGCATGTGCACATCCACACTCACAGAAGCACACACAGAAAGATAAAACAATGTGGAGGGCACCTGAGGAGCAACATCCCTGGTTGACCTCTAGCCTACACACACATGCACATGTACACACAGGCACAAAAAAGCAGTTCACTGATAGTAGAGAAATTCTGTCCCAATCAGGGCAATAAAGTGGCCTCTTTAGATCATGTACATACTTGACATTTGACAGAATTTCTTTCTCAAATGTTTTTCGTCGAAGTGGAAAGCCAGTTTGCCATATTTTTCGATAGCTGAGGTTACGAAAACTTAACACAGCCCCTTCAGTACTTGTCTTCAAGTCACTGCTGCTCATTCCAAGAGGGACACTGGTGCTTCTTTGTGTCATTGGGATTATGATGGGGTCATTATTGGACATCTGGAGAGGTTCTGCCTTTCTGTGGTGGAAAAAGCAATAGTAGGTTGATGGTCCAGAGAAACGAGATTATGAACACAGACTGACAGCACACGTAAAAATTATTTTAAACTGTGTGGTAATAGATTCCTTTCCAATAAACAGTATGTATTGCTATGATAAGAACTCGAAATGAGAGGCTGGTATAACTGAATACATTGACTCCAATTAGATGTCAATTTCCTAAGAGACAAATAGGCATGAATTAGTAGAGCATAAAAATCATTCAAAACTCATTAAGCAAGAGAAAGACGGCTGACAGAGCATATTTGTCTTACTTGAGAAATATATTATGACACAACTTAAGCTGAGAAGCAGACTTCAGTTCCACCACATCTCCTGCTTTGTATTGTTTTTAAATTTTGGCATCTATGGTCTGGAGAGATGGCTCAGTGGTTAAGAGCACTGACTGCTCTTGCAGAGGAATTGATTTGATTCCCAGCACCTAGATGGTGGCTGACAAATGTTAATTACTCCATTTCCAGGAAATTTGATGCTTTCTTCCGGCCTCCACAGGCATTGCATGACATGGGTGCACTTACACACATGCAGGCAATACAGGCATACACATAAAATAAAAAGTAATTAATAAAATATTTTAAATAATAAAATCAACTTTGAATATCTCATAATAAGTAGAGTTTAGAGAAGCAGTCAGGGG